TTCTGAAAACCGGGAGAGTGAAAGTGAAGAGTGATTAAAGCGCTGTCTTCCAACATCGGTTTCTTCGCCCGATTGAATTCTGCTGGGTAGAAAAATTCAGAAACATGTACTTGACAGTGTAGCTGTGTAGCTTGACCGTAAAGAAGGAAAAGAGAAAGAGTTGGAAGCAACTGGAGTAAACCTTAAGAGAACAAAGTGCAGGAAAACGCTATTCTCCAGTTCCAGACGGACAAATAATTTTTTGTTAGTGATTGCGATGGGGAGTAGTCTTCTACACTGCAGTATGGACGACTTTTCAAAGGTAAACGAAGTAAAGAATCAAAGTAGTGAGTTCTTATCCGAGCGGACACGTTAAAGTTCGATGTCCCCGTGAAAAAAAAAACATATCAGTGATTAAAAACATTGCCTTGATGCTGTTGCGAAAGCGATTTATAAATAAATAATTCTACGCTACTTGACAGGCGGTTGTCACTTTGTAATCTGCGGCACGTTTGCGGTGACAGTTTTCACGCTTTGCGGAGTCCCGGGGTTTCCGGGGTGGAAATGAAAATTCGTAAGGGATGGTTGCAAGCTCTCCTTTCTTCGGCCCCTCACTCGCGCGTTCTCGCGAGGCTCGCTTCGCTTGCCCAAATAGGAGAGCTTGCTCGCCGGCTAGACAAGGGGCTGACAGTTACCGCTGTGATTCCTATTGTTTAGCTCGAGTTTTCCAAAATCTGCCTGCCCCACCCAAGCACTACGGCGTCTTTGATGTTTTTGCCGATTTTCAAAGTTTTTCCTAACTTGAAAACTCGGGGTCGCACTTAGCAATGTCCACCGATGACAGATTTCTACCGCAAGGTAAACAAATTCTCGCAAAAATTTGCCAAGTGCGACCCATGCCGGTTTTGTTTGTGCGAAGGCTTCCCAGTAGTCGCAAAACGCACAGCCAAAGACGCAAGAGGTAATATAGTTGGACCACCGAAGAATGGCACAGTCGTGATGATATTACAGTTGCCTTGTACGCCCGCTCTACTCAGTGTCACTTTTTATTGCAAGAGTACACACGACCCGTAAATCACTATCCGTAATAATTTAACATTCCCCAAACAAAACTAAAAAGCTGGTCCCAGCGTGATACAGCATTGAAGAAAAACATTGCATTCACGGACTAAAGAAAATCGTTTAGTTATTCACATCCAAAAGGCACTTTGGAGAAAACTGGAACCCTTGTTCAGCCGTAATAAAAAGCTTTACGCTTCAAAAGAGGTCAAAGAAAATGCGCTTGCATCAGCGGGCAAATCCTGCCGCCCAGAAACAATAACCACAGTAAATCGATATGTGTCATGACCTCTCAGTGTGAAACATGCGGCTAAAATCCCCGCTAAAATCACATTTGCTGTAGTACCTTCCAGAGCATAATCTACCCAGCAGAGGAAAAAAACTTTATTGGAACGAGCAGCATTTTGGCATGAGGCAAAAGTCGTGTAGGCTTCCCTTTTATTGCTCCGATCTTGAACACATTTACTTTACTACGTCATTTCCGTCACCATGTGTTGCGGTGCACACCGAACGAAAGCGCTCTCTAGAAGCCGTAAATTTCGGTCGCCGAAAATGAATTTGAACGCTTTCTTATGCCGTTTTCCTACAGTATTTGGCAAATACATAAGAATTCTAGATCAGGTTAGTAAAATCAGGCGATTTCATTCAATTCCATTTGAGTTTCAGGGATTCGAAAATCGGCCCCAAATTTGTTTCCTCCCTTTCCGTATTTTATACTGTAAGCCGATCTTGCGAGCCCTCAGTCTCTTGGTTTGCGGTCTATAGAATGTGTAACGAAACTGTAACGCGATCAAAATGACCCATTTTTTCGGAGGTTTTCGACGGGCTTTGATGTTCTAACGACAAGCAAATCTCCTCTGGACCCTGTGTAAAAATGGGCAATTACACCAATTTTTAGATGTTCGAAAATCCTAGGAGAGGTAGGCATGCAAGAAATTTTACTACAAAAAATGTTCCGAAACTTCTAGATCTCAAATTGTCATCCGAACAGATATTTTCCGAAAATTGACGTTGGGTGCCCCTGCCAGATACCCTGAAACCGCATACTTGATATTTACGTCGACACAAATTCGGTGTCGTGTGGTGGTTTGGATTCACCCGTCTGACACGAAAACGCTACCGTGATGTACTAGCTAGTACGCATACGCAAACCGTGCCCACGATGTGATTTCGCAGAATTTTGAATGTTGCTGTGGCCATATCAAGCACAATAGCCAGGCCTGCCTATTCGTTGTCCCACCAGGTACCTGTTCGCCTGGGCAAACCCATAATCGTTTTTGACAGGGTTCAGAACGAACTGAAGACGTTTTAGGCGCCTTTATCTCAAACAAAAAAATTCCACAATCTGATTAAACCTGATTATATTAAATCTTGTTTTAAAATGGCTAATAACTGTTGTCGTCAAAATGGAAAAATTGATGTCAACACATGCAACAAGACTGGCGATAAGAGCCAACAAGGTTGCAAACAAATCATTGTTGTCCACCATTTTGAACTCGAAAGACTGTACCTGAGTTTATGACGTAGTTGACTTCAAAAATATCCGGCAAACGTCCATACGAATTCAGCAAACCCAAACAAAACAAATCCACTAGAGAGCGGTTTCAAAAATATGCGGTTTTGGTGTGCGGATTCACTGGCCGGGCGTGTAGACGGAAGGTCGAGTCATATGAAAAAGTATGCAGTTTCAAAAGAATACGGATTCGTGTGGACGGAGCCCTAATATGATAATGCCGTATCAATATTCAGAGATGTTATCAGAATTGATCAGAGAATGAAAAGGATTGTAAGTGAGGCAAAAAACGTATAAAGACGACAAAAGATTCGCCTATGTAATAAGGTACATTATTGCTGATAAAAAAAATGTGTCCACTCTCCAATGGTATGAGTAAGGTATTAGCGTATAAGGGCATCGTGGTTTTTGACAAAAATGGACAAAAACTTGAAAACGAAGGACCGATTCTTTAAGTTTCAGTGCAGTTCCTTCTTACTAATCCTCACTTGACCATAAACAATTTAGGGATTTGGTGCTAGCATGTTAAGTTGTAACCAAGGCAATAGAGACCTTTAGATTTCGAGACAAGACAAGATTTTCTCAATCTCGTACCTCGAGTCTTCGTCCCTTACTGCACATGCTGGCTTGACGAGACGACGCTGCAAGGGGAACGAAGACGCTGGGTGCGAGGATGAGATTTTCTCAATCTCTAAGTAATGAGCGCGCATAAACCTGCGTTTTTTTGGCGGGAAAACGTCATGGCCGTCGTCATATCCCATGGGTTTTAGCGCGAATTACGTCGTGGAGGAAAGTTAATACGTAGTGTTTTTCATTTTGAGATCGGGAGAGGGGTTAACCTCTATCAATAGTAATAACCGTGTATGACAAAACGGTGAGTCCTCTTTAAGACCTTTTGCACAAAAACAGCTCATAACAAAACTCGAGAAAACACGAAACAACATAATAATACTTAAGCATTTATTAAAATAACATACCAATACCACTAAATTCTTAAATTAAGTTAGTAATATTATAAATGCTAGTTCCAATAGCGTTTCAACTATTCCACTATTCTTCAAAATCCTTATGGCTAATGCTATTAATATTATCCTAAATGTTAAACGCTAAATACAAAGTGATTTCCAAGTAGTTAAGCTACATATTTACACGTCCTCTTCTACAAACTACCACTTAATTGTCCTTTTTTTCAGTTCACCTTCACCTGACCACAAAGTTCCAACAACTTCAAAACAACGCCCTTTTTTACTCGATCCAAACTCTAAAACCCCACTTAACCCTGCCTCAGCTTACTACTTTTCTCCATCTTACTTACAGCTGTCCTTGGAGCAGGTTTACTGTTACCAACAGGTACTTTTATTTCTATTGGCTTTCCTATCTCTCCTAAGCAGTTAGGCCTTTGTGTCGTAGGGTTGCTGGGGAGAAGGGGAAAAAGTGCGCAAGGGACGATAGGAAGGGGAAAGAGAGGAAGCGTCTTTTCCCTCTTCTCATCATCCCCCGCACGTTTGCTATTTTTCGATTATTGCTGTTTTTTGGGATACCGAGCTGGAGAGAGGGCGTTCCGCACTTCTGTTCTGTCAACTTTGTTTTTCTTCATTGCTCAGCTGGCTTCCCCCGACAAGTGATTTTTTGCCATGAGTTTCAGGGTCGCCTCTGCTGAAGGCCTCTTAGTAGTGACTGTACTATTGGAAGTTTCTCTCTCACACACACTGTACAAACTTCTTGTTAAAACCTACCAAAATCCTTCCCACCTCTACAACCTCAAAAACCTATGCAATTGCAAGGTGTTCGAGCAAATAAAAGCTAGTTTAAAGAGCCCACCAATTTTAGTAGCTTTACAGAGTTTATTACGTACTCTGAATAACAAAATACGAACTACAAGAATAAAAGTTACGTAATCGCCTCGTACGGAGTAAAGGCTGCTTAAACAAAAGAGTATCCGTAGAAAAGAAATAGCTGTGGATTACAGATATAATTGTAAGCATTTCATGACAAGGCTAACGTTTCTTGTGAACCAAAAGTGCAATGAAGCTTCCTTAGGTTTCTATGTTTTGAGAATATGCCAAAAAAACTTCGTCCTAGTAGTCGTCCTCGAATCTAATAAATAATATGAGTCGGTTATTTAAACGAAGTCTAACTTAGGCTGCGGTTTAAGAAATCATTGAACCTCCAGATCCCTTTCTTAGTAGGTTAATTTAAGAAAAAAGGTGCTTTTCCAGTGTCAGCGCTATATGCTTAATAGAAATTGTTCACGATAAATGATAACAGCTTGGCTTAGGACGGGTTTTGTTAAAAATGGGCTAAACTCCCTTTAATAACCGGCCCTTGAAACGTCTCCAACAGGCTTTTGTTGCAAATAAAGCCGGTGGGTATTTTATTTGAATACAAGTGTGATTTATTACTTCTGGTTCAGAACGAATCGAAGACGTCAAACAACAGTAGAAGCGGTTTAGAACTTGAAAGTATCCAATGAATCGAGACGACCCGCTTGTCCGTAAATTATAAGCGTGGACAACGTAAACAGAACCAAAAACACCGAGAAAAAAAGGCGATCTAATGCGCGACCAATCTGTTTCCACATTTCTTGATTTTCCTCGTCTTCGTCGACTTCATTGACAGAAGTGATTGAACCTGCATTTGAACTCCGTTCGTCTTGTTTTTCATCGTTGTTCTCCTTTGTAACTGTTACCTCCATGTCAATATTTATTGATTCTGTTCCAGGGTTGACCATAGCATTTGCAGACGCAGGTGGTGTGGGAGGAATATCCTTGGATCTTTTCTTTGATGTAAACCTTCGGCAACTTTTGGGAGAGCAGACAATTCCGTTCAATACTGAAGAAAAAAAAATACAGTTAGATGCCTTATTAGACCCCTCCCCTAAGCCAACATTTTGCCCTAAGTGAGAAGTAAGTGTTAATGTTGGCTTAGGGGAGGGGTAGGTGGGCAGATTCCCAGAAACGTATGATGATCCCTTTATTTCAGGTGGGTTAATTATACATCTGACTTTTAAAGATTAGAGAGATTTACAGTCACGTTTGCTGCAAACAGCAAGTATGTCTTTTCTTTTCTAGCGCTATAACTGTTCTTCTACAAAAAATTTGTTAGTTTCACACCAGTTTTATCCATAAGAATTGACTATTTTTATCTTTTTATTTCGACAAATTCTGAACATCAATCTGCCGTTTGCCTTTTGCAGTAAACGTGATTCTAAATCTTTCTGTTAACGAAAGAAGCGCTCGAGAGGTGATGGCCTTGGGCTCTTCTTTCCTCCAGTTACCACCGTCTTCCTGCTAGTCTCCCTTGACTCCCGATCCCCTCGTACCCATAAGAACGAGAGACGACTGGGGATAGCAGTCAGAGTGTGAATACCATGTGCATGCTGAAGGTGAGTTTGGGTGGCTGGATCTAAACACTCGTAACAATAATGGATAAAGACCTGAGTTCTAAAGAAAATGTGTGCTGCTATTAGGAGGACTCCCACACCAAAATTATTTTAATAAATGCGTCATTAAGGTCAATTGGTAATTAAAAAGGGGTCAAAGCTGCAGTTTGAGAGCATAATTAGTGACAGACCTTTGACAGTAGCCTTCGTCTTCAGCAGCTGTTTTCAGCTGTTTTATTCTTCACACATCATATTTTGGTAAAGTTGTCAATACCAGAACAGACAACTACATAAGAGCTATACTCATGATTTTAATTGTGCCCGGCAAAGATATTGATATCCAATGCTGTCTTTAACTCAGTTTGGTGTCGTTACAGGGTTATTTGTGCACAACCCTTCGCGATAAATGTGTGGGTAAAAAAAAAATTGGACTGCCTTAAAGGGGCTGTGTCACGGCAGTCCAGTTCATTTCGTTTAATTTTGCCAATTACTCGCCCTCAATCGCTATGGAACTTAAAGTAAGCAAAGAAATTACATGTAAATGACAAAATCAGAGATCCGAGACAAACAAATATGTCTCCTGAGCATTATTTTTGAAGTTGAAACCAGCAGGGATCAACTTTGAAAAACTGTTAGGCTGAACAGTTTTCAAAAACCCTAAATTCAATCCGTTTCAATCTTCTTCAGTTTTGCCCATCCGTGGCATCTGTTGTTTCTGTTATGTGATTTTAACCTTCCTTTAAAGTTTTAAGTGGTTATTTTTATGTTTCTCTTAATTTAACGGGCATTTTGTAATTTCCTAATTTGGCTGTATTTCGTGACACAGCTCCTTTAGCTGAGACCAAAATTTGCACAGATTTAGCCGTTCCTTTGTAGTGGAATTAACCTCACCTCCCCCCAGGAACAAAAACCAATTTATAATCCACCCTTAATAAATATAGATTTAACTGGTATTAAAACGAAGACTATATTTACCTGTTAAGTATGTCAACAATTTGGGCGGCTTGGATATAGCGTGGTGAGCCATCAGTACGAGGACGGTAGCGGCCAGCGCCAACCCGATTTCAAACATGATCACAATATAGTATACGCCAATCAGCGGTAGAGTGTCTGACTGCTCAGGCAGCTGATCAGTTATAACCACGAGGTACACACTCACAGCCAAGAGAATGGTGGCACACAGACCGATACGCTCACCACTTTCTGCTGGAATGAAGAAGCTGACGAGAATCAGCATGCCGATGATCATACAGGGCACAAGGGTGAACAGCACGAAAAACGTAGGTTTGCGTCCGATGAAAAACGACACGATGACTTCTGGGAATTGTCTCTTTGGCTCTTTCTTCTCATCGTAGTTGGTCATTTTTATGACAAGACTCCTCAGGGTCCAGTAACCATTTGACGACGTGAGTTCTAGATCTAAACAAGAAAGGAGGACATGATTGACCTGATTGACCACCTTTGTTTGATTATTAAATCATAAAAAATATCGTATAATAATCAGTGATCTTACAGGATCAGGACGTCATATAACTATTTAACTACTCTATGCGAACGTAGTAATTGCAGTAAAGTTAGACATAGTCCTAAGCTCTTAGAAAGAAAAGGCAGATTCCCAGCATGTATTTCTTTGGTCTTACTTGTTTGGAGTATGTCGCTACCTCTAACTACAAGAAATTTCCTGCACCATGACCAATAACATGATACCTTTTTCTGGATTCTCAGTTTCCGTGGTTGTTGAGAAAATGTCCAAAAGAGAGCGATCAGCTGTCAGGGAGCGAAATTTCATATTGCATTGCTGTTTGTCAAATGGAAAAAACTTCACATTGATGTCACACGGGCTTTTGAAGGTCGATGGAGAAATCCACGTATTCTGGCCATTACTTTGCACCAGCACATAGGTGTGGAATTTCTCCACATGACCTGCTTGAAGGACCTGACTATCAGCACTGTAAGAAAATACAAGGGACGCTTTTAAAAATTAAACAAGGCAACCTCGGCAGCCCAATAAAGTAAATTACCTAACTATAGATATCCCTGAGACATTAGACAATACCTTACATTGAGGGACCACATAATTTTACTGAACTAGTCTTCGTAAATTTGAACTCTTTTGAAGGTCTGTTAGTGTCTCTAAGTGAGTAGTTGAAAAATGGGAGGTCGAAAAGAGGCTTGCCAAAAGCCACCTGCCGAAGAACAGTGATGATAGAGCTAGAGGAGTTGGGTCAAACATGGAATGAAGCGCAGGCCAAATCTCAAGACAGGGTAGAGTGGCGACGTTTGATTGCGGCCTTATGTCCTGTCTTGAAATCTCAACAGGATTTAATCACTTATAACAAACAAACCTGATATACAGAGTCCGCCATTTGGCAAGAGCACATGGTAAGAGCTTTCGAGCCCTAATGCGCATGTCGCTAGCGTTACTAAGCAACCACGCAATATCGACACATGTCCCATCCGGGATGAAGAGCTTGAGTGAGTGAATGAGTGAGAGTGTGGATACCTGAATACTTATATCATCTCAAGCTATACCTCTCATAAAAAAGTACAAATAAACTAACTTGTTCTCGAGAACAATATCAGGTACCCATATGGTCCGTGGGTCCACAAGAATACGGTCTATCCCTTCATAATCTTCAGGATTCCACTGAAGGAACAGATTAGTCCACACCTGGAAAAAGAGGGGAAGATACTGATAAGATGGTTTGCTTTTTAGTGAAAAATGTGAAAACCTAGTAGGGACGTCAGGTGGCGGCGAGACTGGATTGGCATAATGTGTACAATGAAACTGGTGTCCTCCAGGGTTGCATGATCGATTCCAGCACGAATAGTTCTACACATCATATACCTCTCTAGAGGGAACAGAAAGCACTACTATATTTATGTCGGCGCAGTTGTATATACAGCTCATGCATTTGATTCAATTTTTCAGGAGAAAAATTTTCTTTTTCATCAGTTTTCATCAGTTCGTTTCTGTTGGCAGGAGCTGTCATATGTGCACTACCGTATATTAAGCCAAAACCTTGTACAAATCAGTGTAACAAATAAAACCCAACTAATTTTATAGTGATTTACCTGGGTTATCTCAGTGTCTGTTGTAATAATTTGGTCTTTGCTGTCCTGGAAAAAAAACCAAAGTTGCTATTTTCTTATATACATGTGTAGATCGAATATCAGAGGATTTCTTCAGAATCTAGTTTCAGGCTTTCAGACTGCTGATTAGAGCTCGGTGGAGAAATAAAGCACGCGAAAATCGCGCCTGGAACAGTCCATCTGTCTAACTATCTGCTTATGTAAGTCCTTATTTAGTTAGCATACATACATGCAATGCCTTAGGAATGCCTTTTTAACCACCATTGTCTCGATAGTGTTTGGATGCTATGTGAAATCTGAATGTCCAGCCTTTGCCTGTTTCGTCCTAAAAACCTTTTACAATATATATTGTATTGCACTGCATTATGAACAGATTTGCAACTGTGAGTGTAAACATGTATAGTGCTAGGCCTGAAAAATACATCAGTTACATTCAGCAATTACCACTGCGCTTAGTGCCTTGAAGTCCACAATAAAGGTGACATTGATCACATCAGATGGTTTTAATACCGGGCGGACCATTTTGTCGTACTGCCCCAAAAGAACCTGCCTCAAGCGGTATTCAGCTGACTGATGTATGTTATATTTTAGAGGTTGTGCACTTGATGGTGGCTGGAGAAGGCCTCTGAGTGGATGTTCAGTTGCCTGTGCCTGAGGTCCAGGTGTTGAATTCTGACCTAACACGTCTTAAAACAAGAAAAATACTTTTATAAGGAGACCTTCAGGAGCTAGACATGCCAAGTAAAACCTAAACTATCAAAGCTTGTTGCTTGTTGCAAAAGAACCTTCCTCAAGTGGTATTCAGCTGACTGACTCAGGTTATACCGAGGTCCAGGTGTTGGACTCTGACCTAACACGTCTGTAAAACAAGTATGATACTTTTATTAGGAGAAAATCAGAGCTGGTTATATTTTAAAGGTTGTGCACTTGGTAGTGGCTGGGGAAGGCCACTGGGTGGTGTCAGAAGTCCACTGGGTGGAAGTTCATTTGAACTGGTTTTGTCTGAGGTCCAGTTATTGCATGGAGTCTGACCTAACACGTCTTAAAACTAGAATAATACTTTTATAAGGAGAACTTCAGGAGCTAGATGTGCCAAGTAAAACCTAAACTATCAAAGCCCGCTTTGACCCTCTTAATACGAACAGTTTTGCTTTGTCCCTTCTCTAAATGTATCCGCTTAACCCTTTTAAAAGCGAGTAGGGGAAAAACCGCATTTTCACTAATGCCTCTTTTTTGGACTGGTTTTCGATTAATCAGCATGGGAATGGCCAAAAACGGAGTTTTGAAACAGTTTTTTCTTTTTTCGCGCATGCGCATGAGCCTTTTTTGTTAGCGAATTTCTTTCTTTTTTTTTCTAGCTCTCTTTTCTCACTTTTCCTTTCTTTTCTATTTTCAGTTTTGCTGCCCACTATATCGTCTTTCTTTTACATGGAATTGTGGCTGGCTAGCTTCTTAGGATAGGGACAAATTTAATCTACAAAGAGTAGTCTTAGGTAAATAGGGCAATTGCCATTGGATTTTCTTCGAAATGTTATTTGGTTTTATATTTGTAACTCTGTCAGGATTGGTTAGAAATTGCAAAGGCGAGGTATCGGTGGAATTGATCTATCTTTGCTAACGTTGCTGCTTAACAACTTAATAGTTTAAACTCAACTGCATTGTTCCATATGAAACGAAATTAAAACGACCCTAGCCGTCCGAAAAGGGTTAATACGGACAGTTTCTATGGCCCCCTCAATGTCCGTATTAACGGGGTTTGACTGTATTTTGTATTCAATTAGACTGCGTAGCAGGCGCTTTTAAGTAGTGGGCGCAGGAAAGAACGGGCGCGCGAGTCCCTCTCGCGCGCCCGTTCTTTCTTGGGCCCACTACTTCAAAGCACCTGCTGCGCAGGCTATCTAATCAGCACGGTTGGTCAGAGCTGTCCCAGGTGAATTTCTTGCGTGGGCATGATTGTCATTTCCCTTTTGTCGTTAATGGATCATCAGGTGATTTCATTGGAAGGGAATTCGGAAAAATTAAATCATCTTGTTTGACAAACAACGCATCTTTTCATGAATATCAAGCAAAATAATTTAAAATATTGTTAAGTTCTTTTCTCTTTTAGCCTTAATGATCTCTATGTAATGTCACGGGAGTAATTCGGATGGAGAACAAAACATCCTATGATTCATCAATATCAACAGTTAATGCATTAAGATTGATCAAAGTCAGAATTACAACTGCGTGAAAAATGTGTTCAGTATATGAAAGTTACCTTAGTTACATCTCTAATACAGATAGGAAATCATATTACTTCCGGAAACCTTATTTACACTTCCTAACTAGTTTAAAGTTTAAAAGTTTTTGTTTTCTATTTGTATTTTCTAAGCTTTTTTATGAACTAAAGAACCGCAAATTGTGTCCGTTAAGGCCGCGGGGGGTGAATTTTCTCTAAAAATAAATTCATAATGCAAAAGTTTACCCTTCTGCAGTGCCAGCTCGTGAAGTTTTGCATCTGCGCTGAATTCGTGGACGCAAAATTGTGAGAAAAGTCAAATTATGAGATTCCTGAAGGTGTCCCAACTAAAGTTCCAAGCATAAGATATGTAATTATGGTAATTATGGTTTACATTCCACGCTTTAATTCTGTTTATAAGGTGCAATGTTTTCAAGGATTTTTGAGGCGAAACAAAAAAACATACAAATAGTTTTTGTTTTAAATTTGGTTGAAATTTCTAAACATTTCCTTATTTTTATTTCCATACTATTAAAGATCACTGAAACAAGGTTTGATTCAGGGCCTTTTTGTTACTTTTGAAGCAACATTTTGTTCGCAGCCTACGTGCCACACGTGTACGTGAACACTTTAAATTATGCGCTCATCCTATATCCAGTTATGAATATCGCAATATCTCGTAAACCTGTCGATATCAGTCGTTGTACTTCATGTATGCCGGCTTTAAATAAATACATAACAATGAGTCCAATGTGTCCTCCGCGACCTTAATTTGTTTTGAATGGAGATATGTTAATATTTGTTGTTAGGATGTCATTACGAATTAAATTTAATCTTTCTGAAATTCAGTGACAACACATTGCATAGGACTCAAGTACAGGTTATCAGCTGATCTGTGATATGTTAAAGTATATAACAAGGCATCATAGCCACATATCAGACCCTGACATAATTATGCAAGGGAGACAACGTACATAACCTCTGCCAAGGAACATCCAGTTAAAAGGAGGCTGGGAGATGGAAGAGTGATGAAAAATTGTGACAAAATACATTTGCGGAACTGTTTACTCAAAGTATCCAGTTTTTCGTGTTGAAATCCTTAGTTAGTCACATGTCCGCAGGTGTTTTTCCTTGGGTCTGACTTGAAGGAATGTGCTACTGGAGTTAGCTCTTGAAATTAATTTGCACCATTTATCACGAAAAAAGGCTCTAACGGTTTTGAGGCGTCCCGTGTGTAATTTCAAATTGATACATACGCGATAGTATTTACGAGAAACGGATTGCTTTTCAATGTACTTATGTGTACTGATGACTCCGTGTTAAATGCCAATGACAATCAGAATTCCTTGAATAATTCGTTATTTATCTCCTAAATATCGTTATTAGTTATGATTTACAGTAACAGTTACTTTAAGAAAATAAATTTCCTAAATAAAAGAAAAACTTTTACAAAAACATGATTATTTAAGCGCGTAGAAGATGAAACTTGAAATTTGTCATGAAACTTCTTTTAGAAATATCGGCCGTCTGGTTTTAAAATTCAGTATCATGGCAACAGAAAAACAAAGCCGGATGAACTAACCATCTTAAAAGGAAATTGTTACACGCGTGAAACTGTAAAAAGTATTTATAGGGTTTTTTCCACAAAAGACCTATAACTTCATTAATGTCTCTCAGTTGCTTCCAAATTCGTTCAGTGCAATGGAACCAGAAGGAGCGCGCTGTTTACTTGAATGCTAACTTTAAAATCCCTTCTTCCACTGTCTATACGGAGAAACTTTGTTATTCAAATACGTCAAATATTTGCCAAGAGAGAATGAGATAAGTATTCTTCTTATTGCTCAGGTAAATCAGTACAGTGAGATTGCTGTTACGAAATGACTCGCACTCATCACAGAGAAGTACCTCAAAATTCGTGACAAAGGGCCCGACTTCCGATATTTCTGGAACACGCACAAAATGTTACAGTCTCTCTTGATATTTCTTTACTCGACTGATATTAAAGGAATTGCCTTGTATTGGTGCTACGCAAGTGTAACTTCCTTAGTGACTTACTTGAACGCTTGTTCGGGCAACATTTTCAATTTTGCTTTTAGTTATTCCCTATTTTTGTGCCATTGACTCAAATCTAGGCAAGGAAACGAATTTTTTTCTCAAAAGGTTAAAAAGGAGAGAAAAAGCTGAAACGGGGGCTAATGTCGTTCTGTTCAACTTTACTTAATTAACGAAAATAGAAAATTAATTATCCCACTGTAAACGCAGTTTCTCTCATTTTCATTAACAAATTGCCTTGGAAAGCAAAAAAAAAAAATGCTGTACAGTTAGTGGAAAGAATGTGCCGAACATTGCAGAGATCTTATGATCCACAACTCGGATTTTGGCAAATTTGTAAAAGCTTTTTACAAAACTGTGCAGCCCGGAAAGAAAACAGAAATTCTTTACAGATCCTTATTTTCTCGAGGGATTGTTTTTGGCTGGATTTATTGGTGCTGTGCGGCGTAGAAAGCTTTGTCAAACAATATTTCCAGCTGTCTTGTCCAAGTTTCTCTCCTTTCTCTTTTTTCCTTGTTGACTAAATTGACAATACTGAAAACGAACTTTTTAAATCTTGTAGTGAGTGTGGCTCCAATTTGAAAATCAGTCGCAATAAGCTAAGATATAAAGATCTTTGACAAACTTACCAGCCAAACGAAGTAATAAGAACATTAAGGTAAACAACTGCGCCATACCACTTTCTTAACGCTGGTGCGCTCATGCACTCACTTAACAGACTGTCCCAGCTAAGGCACCTTGCAGTAAACTTAAATGCTCGTTATACCTGGGTCACGTGACCACAACAGATTACGCATTTCCCTTTCCTGTAAAAACCCGCAACAAGTGGCTTATTGTAGATAATTGTCATCATTATTTGGAATGACGAAACTGCGATATTTTTAACCTTGAGATATAAAAGCCGATTTCTCGCGGAATAAACTGCGGGTTGCAAAACCGGATGCAAACTCATTGAATACACGTAAGCACTTTTTCTCCTTTGGGCCTGTGACCATTCAGCTCCCATTTTTTAGTGTTAAATGAAAATTTAACACGGACCCAGAAATGAATGGTCGCTAATGTCACGGTCAGGTATAAGTTAAAAACGAAATAACTGAACTGATGTTTTATTTGCGAGCCAAATCAATTCGTTTGCCGAGTCGAGTCGTCAACTGAAACTTAACCCTTTGTTTTTATTAGACTTCTTGATTAATTTGCTTTAAGAAAAGCGTGTGCTATTTAAATGAGCCAAAACTGTTATTTAGCAAACACTTACCTTCTAACGGTTCTTTTATTTGTGCTAGTCGAACCAAAGATCCGAAGCTGATAATTGGGTTTCCAATGTTCATATACTTAAAAAAATTAAGATACTGAGATAAAATCAAGGCCTTTGTAAATTCTGTAAAGGGAAAACAAAATTGACAACAGTTCAGCGTGG